ATATCGACTGTCGGTAGAGCCGAAGGCCGCGCAAAAAAGCTGATGGCCCACGCGGACGTCAGTAGTTGTTAAATTATTTCGTCACTATCAAAAGCGTTCAACGAATCGTCTCGCTTACAAACCCATAAACTTTACGTATCAACAAATGCAAATAAGCTTTCAACTGTGTCTACGCTTGTTGATTGTTTATTCAGATTTATTCATCCGGTGGCCCTGACCAGCGGAGCAGTACGATAAATGATCTCATCTTACCCCATCTTTTAGCCGGCTTGTTCTTTGATAAAGTACTGATCGTCGTCATTTTGTCTTGCCGATGGTTACGGCAAATCCAGTCGAAGAGATTAAAGGCAGCGGTACAAGATTAACACGTTTCCACGTGATGATTATACCGATAACTGACAGAATAGTTCAAATGTACATAACTAATGTTGTGGGCAGACAATCGCCATGTTCGCTAATCTGGGAGCATGACAAAAAAGCTTTCATTAATATTACAAGTAAGCGTTATCGTGACTTTCGTGAGGCTGCATGTAACAACAAAATTATAAAGTCAGCGAACATACTATTATATGTTCCTTGTGATGAAAAAAAGGAACGACTGCTGCTTTATAGACTGCCCATAAATTTATCGGAAATTACCTACATTCTAAAATGCGAGCACGGGAGTAATATATGCGTCTCAAGCTGAACTTTAGTCTGCACAAGCAGATCGTATATAGGACAGCCATAAGGACGCTGGCTATTCAACGCGACATCATGCACAATAAGGACTGCTGTTCTTACATCATCGTTGTATTTATGGATGGTCAAAATGAGAGACTTTAAACACCCGAGTTTTGCATTTTTCTAAATGACCAAATCATAAGAACATTTTGCATCAAACAAAAGATAAATCATGTAAAGGGTAGGTACTTTGAGGGGCGACGGGGGCGGACCTGCCGGGGGCATCCAGTGTGGATTACCTGTGTGGATAAATTACACTAGGAACTCTATTCTGTGAACATGGACATGATGTCGATTATGGGAGTACGTAGGGACCGTAGTAATGGGTTTTTATTGCTGCTTCTTTTCCTTCAGGGTGGTTTTCGTTGGCAAAAATTTGATGACCCGTCTGTTATGTCGTCGAACAGTCGAACCCTTTCAGTTCCTCCATTCTCGAATCATCCCACCTCTAAACACAAAAGTCATATGGCCAAAAAACACGAATATTGATTAAAAATGCACAGTGTACGCGCCGAAATTTACTTACCGGAAAAAAACAAGAAACCCATGATGAGACGAGCAACTAGGACGGTTTAGATGGCGCACTCATAATGTAGATAATACTATTTAATAATCATAGTTGAACTTGACATTTTATACGGATAGTTGCCGATAGGCCAATATACATTCTGTCGTCTCTTCGTGAATGAGTGCCTGACAGCCGACAAAATGTATGTAAGTACAACGAATAAGATAGTATTGCAATAACTAAACAGTAATATTATCCAATATTTTGAGGGGTAACTGCAAGCAGGCACTACCCTACACCGTACTTAAGCAGACGAAACAAAAAATAGTTCAAATTAAGTGAATTTAATTTTTAACAGCAGCTTGTTAGCTTTATAACGTACCGTCTAGCTAGACGAAGTTGAAAATCTGTTGTATCTCTAATATGAACTGAAGCTGAATGAGAAGTTGAAATTTTTTTCAGAAACAAAAACTTCAATGTTCCTTTTTAAAGTTAGTATTTCGATTTTCTATAATACATTGTAGGATTTAATCGAGTACTCTCCGCCTACAGCAATGCCCCCAACATTAGATTTTCGTCTGTTACCTTGTGACAGTTCGACGAGCGCTTGCTTTAGTAGTGGTTGAACCAATTTCTATGCGCAACTTAACAAAGATGGCTAAGTTATTCGTTTCGATCGATCGCAAGCAAAACGAAGGATTACCTATTGCTTGGCCCGTTGACTAACCGCACAAGTTACGTCTTTCTCGCAGCAGAGATCAACCAAATAAAATCCGGCACGCTGTGACGTTTCTCTCAGAATTAATTGCCAAAAATCTCAAACTAACGGGAACAAGCAGCTATTGAGATTCTTAATGTAATTACTACAATTACAGTCGCAGCAAGCAACGTTATGTCCAAGAATTCTAGCAGATCGTTACATTAAGGTCCGTCTCGATTCCACGTACGAACGTAACTCACTGAGAGGCTGTCATTTGTCATCGTGACCTTGCCTCCCACATGAGCGGAATAAACGAAAAAAATGTTAAAAAAAAAACGCGACTTCAACACACAAGCTATTTCCGTGTCTTAATTATACTGAAGAGCGCAATATTGAGGATTCATTGATATTGATGTTCGGATTAAGTCTCTGCTAGCAGAGATAGCTCTATCACCTTTTAAAGATGGCAGTAACGTCGAAACCATAAATCATATATATATATATATTAAAGAAGATAGATTTTACTCAGAATGAGTTCATTGTAAAATTAAATCTTGAATTTAAAAGAACATGCTTGTTGTACTGCTGCAATAGGAGCTAGACACATGTCTGATTTCTCATCTCCTATTGTATAATACCCATGTCCTCTAATCTACAATTTCTTTCTGTCACTGACTGCCTAATGATATGACGGTGAGTGGCTCTAAGGGTTCCAATTTTCTTTTCACCTATGAATATTAGGTCTCTGAACAAAAATCTGTTCTTCCAAATGAGCTTCACTGGGATTATGGTGTCTATAAAACTTCATCCATTTCAGCTGACCGCTATGTTTTGTTTTAACTGGTGAAGCCAGCCGGAATTGAAACACGCTTAACCGTGTTGTTGAGTAGGGGATCCGTTCGCCCGCGCTTATCCCTGTGTGGGCATTTTTACGGTTCTATTACTAATCTTATCCTATAGCCGACCGTTGACTTGCCAATTACGCTCTCAGCTAGTATCGGCCACAGAACCATAACAATATCTTACGACTTATAACAACAATGCATACAATTTTTCTTCGCGTAGAGCAGCAGCTAGAACACACGCACCATATATATGTCGTACCAGTGAAGTAATCCGTAGTTAATTTAATGAAAGATTTACCGATAAATATAATCGGTAATTATATATCGGATAATTATAATTACTATAATTTATATATGTCCTACGATTAGGTTTGGTGGTGGTACAAAACACATATATACACTAAGAATAAGTTGTGGAGGTTTGCACACGAGGTGAATTTGGGTCATCTGTGATTCTAGTTTTGGCCTCTAATTGGCTGACCAAGGCAAGGCAGTACCCGTTAAAGGGCATGTGATAACTTCAAAAATGTAAATTAATGCGTTACTTCGTGATGTCATGTTGCTGGCAGATTTGTTACGATCTTCAAAAGCTTTCGGCATCGATGTGCGCCCTCGTTGTAGTCTACTATAGGCGTAGAGCTAACTTGCTTGCGTCTTGAATAGCTTGTATAAATTTACGTATAATCCCTTTTATGACCATGAGCTCCCTGACTGAGGAAGTTAGACTTCATTAAAAAAAAATAATCGTTTCAATGTGAATAATATCTGACTTTGGCCACCCTATACCGTTTTATAGGGCTGCACATCATGTAAAGCATAAGTAAACGTGAATCATAATCAGGGTTATAAATTACGTCTCGCTACGGGCGCACCCATATTATATGCACAACCCACCTACAGAACACAAAGATACTAGCCTATTTTTATGTATAGGATTATTTGTTTGGCTTCTAAATATCAAATCTTGAGGGTTTATGATTAGTTTTTTACACTTGCCTATATATGCACATATAATCTGTTGCAGCATATAAGCTGTCAGTTTATATGACATTGATTTACATATGAAGATTACATCAATTTGTGTGCGTGTCTCTATCTAATATATAGATAACTATATAGACGAATTGTATAACCTTCAGCCAGAGGGAATCGGAGCAGATCACTAGTTTTAGAAGACGAACGGCTTTCAAACGGTCGGCTCATTTGTTCATCAACGCCTTGCGCTGAATGGTATGCGCCAGTGGCCAAGCTACATCGTTACGTTCAGCAAAAGTTCCCGTTACACAGTGCCACCAGTGATACCAGCAGTAGCAATACGCACGAAGCCGTTAGTTTAGTAGCGTTAACGCTACACTCGCCGACAATTACGGCCTGAAGGAAACTTCCGAATGCTGGGAGCTCGAGGGCACCAGAAAAAAAGAGGCGACTATCAATATCATACTCCAGACAGGCAGAAGGTATATATACAGGCCGATTGGATAGCTCAGAACGGTGCCGCAGTGGAAACAGCGGCATATTGAGATACACAGGTGCAAACCTAACAAAGAAAAACGCCGGCTACAGGCGCAGGCCGATTGCGGCCTAGCGATTTAGCTGAGTACCAACACCTGTATGGATCAACAGCACCTTGCCTGCCAGCCGCATCAGTTTAATGCGCAGACGGACGTACACGCATACACGCGCGCACGTATACATACACACACGTAGACACATAAATATGAGCTGTGAACGGAGGTAGCAACAAGATTGCCAAAAACAAAGCTTTTTGCTGGCGAGAACGAGACAATACACAATGAACGAAGGTAAATTCACACATTTTGATTTAGAAGGTAAACGTAGTACTGAACTCATGGCAATGATGGGCATAACAAGACAGTAATGTATATAAAAAGCTTACAACATTTCGAAACCATGTAAATCACTTGGACTATTTTAACCTAGGCAAAATATCTAGCTTGAACAAAACAGGTGGGCAAGTAAGTATCTATGAGCTTCCTAAAAAATTATACTTGTTTCGTTAGTATGCTTTTTGAGATATAACTACACGAGACAACGTATGCAACAACCGAATGATTCGATACCAGTCAGAGTGAAAGAGCTATTCTGAACGTCAACACTATCATACATTTAATTATAATTCCGTAGCTGATGAAAATGATGAAAGCACCGATAGATACGCAACATGTGTGTAAATAGAAATCGGATATTATTTCGTTTTACTTACAGATTATCGCCGCCGACGTTCAGCCGATATAGATGTCTTAAGTACGTTCGCCCTACAAGGTATCGATACTTGTTTACGTTTGTCACGCAGTGGTTATCCGTGACAAGGCACCACTCACTATTCGCGTGCATTCGCTAGCCAGGTCTAGTGAGTCCAAACACTTTTTTTAATCTACAGACACGTACAAGCACAGCTTCGGTTCTGCAAATTGACCGTAAGTTTTTGCTGTTTCCTGCAATTAATGTTGGCACCCACGTTCAGCGCTTCAATCAACGGCTTTGCAAGATTTGAAAATTTCAATCGCCGCTGATATTGAGTCTGATCCAATGGTCTTTCCAGCCTCAGTTAAGTTTCAAAGATAATGACAACGGAGATGTTGGAAAGGGCTTAGCTGAGGGGCAGATAAGATCAGATAGAGTTATCTAGTAAGTCTGTCAGTTCAGATTAGAAGATTAGATCAGATGAATAAACAGAGCAGTCCGAAAATTAGGCGATCTCTGGTGAGCGTACGTTCTCCAACGTTCGAAGGTCAAGAGAAGCCCTTGATACCAAGAGATTCCCTGATATTATCCTCCAAAAAAGATCGACCGGTTGCAAACTAATCTGTTGTGGGTGTCTGTCGGTCGATGCATAAAAGCAAAGCGTAATCGGTTCTTCAATGTCTCGGATCAGACAAAGAGAAAAGGGAAAATGAATAGTCGAAAGGAGAAAGTCACTCGGAGAGAAACTCTCCTGTGAGCCGGACGCCGGGCAGTCTGCGAATGACGGAACAACCGTCGGAACTGCCCGAGCTGGAGCATCGAGGGACCCGACGCCGGGAACCCGCCATATACACATATAAACACACGCACACACACATGAACAGTTGGACAGTATCGACAAGCCCAGGCTAGACGGCGACGAGAAAGGAGGTTGCCGCCGCGGGCGATGGTGAACGAGGCGAAAAACAGCAGAAAGCGGGAGAGAGAGTCGCAGACACAAGTAACCAGCCCAAATCAGCTTTAGTGTCGACGGCGCTGAGTAGAGCAACGCCGCCGCAACCACCGTGGAAACCAAACAAGAACACCAAAGGCGAATCCTGCCTCCTGTACGAAGTTCGACAGAAGAAGGCGGACCAGGATACGCAGAAGAAGCTACAGCCGCGGCAATAGCACGAGGACCAGGAAGAGCGGGAAAGAATATATCGAATTGAGTAAGTGATCGCGCTGCTGGGCAGGCAGAAAAACAGCTGCAGCGGTAGCAGCAGCGGCCGTACGGAACGTCTATTGCAGAAAAATAGAGGCGCGGTCACTGGCAAAGATAATAGCACTATTCGTCCTATGGCTGCTGTTGCCGTTAGCAGCGGCTGCATCTGCTGCGGCTCCAAGGAAGTCAACGACAATATTGGCAGAAAAGGTCTCCATATCGAATGCCTCGTTGTGTTCATCTTCTCTCTACTAGCCCTCTTTCTTTAATTCGCCACAATGGCCACTGCTACCCTTTTCAGCGTTCCCTAGTGATTGCGAAGGTTCCTATGTCGTTAGACCAGAGGCAGACAATAAAGGCTTTCTAAAACAGCCCGAATTTTTTAATATCCACTAAACCCGTATTCTTACGTGACCAGTTTTGATCATTTAGAGTCAAATCCCGGCCACTATCTTCGTCTACGGTTGGGTCATTTTTTGGTTCCTTTCTGTTATAGTGGTCCTTGTTATTAATCTCATCATTTTATTGATGTATCCAGGTTCTTTCCAACGAGCCTTACTGTTTATGAGTTATGGTTTTCATGGCCTTTCGGAGACCCATGCGGCTGCACTCCCCGTACAATAAAAAGTATACAGCTTCTATTTTTACTAAAAATCGTTTTTACGTTTCGTTTTTTACAGGTGCTCCTAACGGTACGATGTTCGTTTACAACAATTAAAGATATATATATAGTCCAAGCTCTGAGCCTATCCCTGCATTACAGGTCGCATGCGAGAACTTTTTTGCGCCAATATAAACTTTACTTCAATAATCGTGGTAGTTTTAAGTTTCCATTGTAATGGCTTCATTTACCAGTAACTTACTGATAGCACTTATACATTTGAATTCGTCGAATAGGTGCTGACCTGAACATCTGTGTTCCTACAATTTTTAGGAGCCCGTGCTTACTTTGCTGAAAGGAAATACAAGATCAAAATGACTCTCCTAAATCCCGTAGCGTGGACCTACAGTAAAGATTTATCTTCATGAAAGCTTTACAAAAAAAATTTTAATAATTTATTATCATACGTATTTTGTTAAATCAACTGAGTTGTTTAAATGATGTATTCAGTACGACAATGACCTTATTGACCGGGGTCGATTCCTTTTAAATTCGGACGACTTCTCTTATCGAATAGAAAGAAACAAAGCGATCGTGTTTGATTGCACGTCGTAAATAAGTTCTTTTTCAGAGTTGTGTTGATCAACAATTGAATATCTTTGAAGTATATCAGGCAACTCGAACCCTTTGCTATCTGTAAAAGTATCACTTTCTGGTTTGACCAAACATGATAAACCTCTATCGATTCAACTACATTCAGTCGCTGATACAAAGTTCTGACGTCTACGTATTTTTTTGGCGGGTCAACAACACAATATCAGAGTAACTATGTGGACCCACATAGGACATGCATCATCGTAAGGCTTATAGGAATCTTGTTGAGTTTGTAAAACTAATCTAAGAGATTTGTTGTTCCCCACTGTACCCAAGGCAACGAAGTCGCCATCGGTCTTCGCGAATTTCTTGCGTACGGTTCGTAGGCTCGATCTTCAAGGCTTGCATTGTTGGGAGCTGAAAGCGATAACGTAGATCTCGGACAACAGTGGCGAGCCAGCTGGGAGATATGTAAAGCGATTTCGGATCACGATGTGTAGTCCAAGTACTCTTTCGAGGAAAACGGTTTTAAATTTTCCACTGTAAGATCTTCTCAAACAACGGATATCCCATGTGTTCTAATCAGAGTGATCACGAGGTCGAACATGCTGAGAGCGGCTACGACGTACAAGTGATGATTTAATTTGATCGTCATGCGGCCAGCATTGTTTTCGTGCACCTTCTACTGACGTACACAGTGAAATTTCTGCCGTTCCCACAGAAGAGCAGCCCCAAGTACGAAAATCAATTGACCTAAACGAAGGGCGACTCAGCGAGGTACAGAGTGTTACTGGCCATTGTCTAGTATTAGCTTCTAAGTTGCGCGGCTTCCGTCTTGGTCAAATTTACGGTCAGTCCCAAACCTGCCGCATAGGATCGGGCTAGAACTTGTTGCACGACCCGTATAACACTAAGTTGTCTGCATACAATATAACTTTCTCGGCCCTCTTATTTGATCAAGGAGACCTTTATGGATGAGTAGAATGGAAATGGAGAAGTAGAGCAGACTTAGATTGTCACCCTAAGCCAGGAGAGTTTTCTATATTAAGGGCGGCAGTTCCACCACTCAGTCGTCGATGGTCATTTTTCTATCCTAAAAAATTGCAGAAAAAAAGGTTGAGCACATTCATAGGATCACTCGTTTTAGCCACCGCGAGTATAACTCTGGACGCCGAGCTGAGGGCTGTCGACAGTTCTTTTTCGACTTCGGCCATCAGGACTCGGCATGCCGTTTCTGTGAAACGCTTTCTCCGGAACCCATGTTGCTCCGTTGGAATGGCGTGTACGCTTTTTAAGCAGCTGTCTAGTACCTTAATCAACCAACCGAAGAGCAGCTTATAATAAACGCTTTTGTTCGATATTCTCCGCCGTTATGACGGCTCGATTGGGTCACCTTTCTTTTAAGGATCATTAACAGGGTAGCATCTCTCCATTAAGCTGAGAGAGTACCAATATGTAAAGATCTATCAAATAGTGATGTTCAGCATGATACCAGACCGACGGCTTATTTAAAATGCTTGTTGTAGACCTTGTCTAGACCGGCAGCTTGTCTGTTGCGTAAGCGTTTAACACACTGCAATTGTTCCTGTTTTGTGAGACCTCTTTGAAGAATATTGCAGAAGAGTATTGACATCCTCGTTTTCCATAATGCTGCGGAAAAGGGGCACCGCATGTAGTATCCTATCTTTTCACACAAACAGCTCTGAGATATGGTTTGCAAGGGCCAAGGAGCAACGTTCTGCATCGGCGATCTGACAGGTCTCCAGCTATTCAAAATATGATTGCCTTTGTCACGCATACGTTTTTTCGGCAATACGTTTAAAAAACGGAGGCTAGAGGGTAGAAATCGAGATGTACATAGGTTATAAGTCTGAAGGCCATCTGGATCCTCCGAGCAGGGCTGCCAGTATAGCTAACAATGGTTTGTGCTTCTGGAAAAAATGGAGGGTCTGTATTAGAGGCCAGAGAAATTCAGTCAGATGTTGCGCATAAGATTCGGCATATACCACGTCAGGTATAAGAAGAACTTCGTGAGTATGTTACGGGAACTCGCCTACACATAAGCATCGCGACGGGCGGATCTTACCCTCTTCCGGCTATGGTCGTCGTAAATATATTAATAACGGAGCTTCCTGCACATCCTTAGGGAATCCATTTCAAGGCCATACACCCTTGTATTCGTATAAGCTTATAAAGAACCAGACTGCTTAAAAGGTCATCTTCGCCCGGTGTTCAAAGTAAACGTTTGGTTTACGTGTGACATATTGTCTAAGTACCTCGTGCAGTGAGGGAGGCCACAACAATCAACTTCGAATGAATATCATGAAAAAACATGTTTTTCATTTAGTTTCGACTTTAAACGCATAGGGAAAATATAAAGTGCAGCGACCCTTGTAACAAATCTAGTAGAGCTTTTATTCATCAGCCCTCGTTCGCACAGTACAGGGTGGCAGTACGCAAATACTCCTACCGTGGTAACTATCCGATGGAGCCTGTTTTCTTGCAGGGCGACCCCTAATAGGTAAAATGACCGAACCTTCCGTTCTGGTGAGATGAAAGCCTGCGATGCCATCAGCACGTCTTCGCCATTATTTTCCTAGTTCATAATTAGGGCTGCGGTCAGTTAATGAAATAGATAATTAATTTACCCAACGACGCAAACAGTGCGACATTAAAATGACGCATGCTTCACTGAAACAGGAGCTACTGTGCCATTTCGTCAAACAAATTCCCGCTGCCTATAGTCACAACGGCAAATCTGAAGAGTTGGACCTTTGCAGGCGTCCGTCCCATCCGATTTAGGTGAAGTCGTACGCACGTAATGCGGTCCGGTGTGTAAAACGCCAGCACTTTAATTGAATGTCGCGATCGAAAGCGGCCGCTTTAGCCGTAAACGTTTGCCTTACAAATACGTTTTAGTCAACTAAGAAGAAACGCCGCCCTGTCTAGCCGCCAATAAGAAGCTGAACTTTATAATTACTTCCAATTTACTTAGGAAGGCCAAAATTTCCGGCAGATACATCTGCTTCGCGCGTCAACCTGGGGAAAGCACTAAAAAAAAACACTGGATCCCTGAATTACAAGTTTTAATAGTGCTAAAACTCACTATATCGACGGAACGCGAAAAGCAAGGTGGAGAAGTTGACGATGGTTTTTACTAGCGGTGCGAATCGCACAACGTTCTACTGCGAAGCAACTCCATACATATAGGACATGTTAGCTACAAAATAAGCTAATTAGTTTTCCTTTGCTGATCGGCGAAGTAACGCGGACCAAAATTATACTCACATATTAACCTTAGACATCGCATATCCCTGAAATAAGATTGTTCTTCTTCATAGAATCCTTTTCTTGTGGAACAATGCCCATTCTGTAGCATGACTATTTTACGGTAGACAAGAGTTTTTGATGTCAACGACATCATTACATAATCGAACATGGGTTTCGATGT